TGGGATTAAGCCCAAATTACCCGAAGCTACAATTAGTTGGACTGAAGAGTGTTTCTTTTATTGCATCCGGCTGCCATTTGTCGACTGCGCAGGTACCAGGACCAGAGGCATTGCTTGAACAAGCAAGTGTCGTCTCTTGTCTCAGTGGAAATCACCCCACTGGACAAGGATTTTGTGGTTTGCCCCTGACATTGCCGTAACCCTTTGTCAGGTCCGTCTGGACATTGAAGCTCTGAAATTGTCAGAGCCTGTGTGTAACAGCAGATAGAGTCCAGTTAGCTCACTAGGCGTCTGTCCAGAAGAGGGAATCTTGGAAGGACATTCGCAACTGGCAAGCCCAGGGGGAGAGTACCCACCCCCTGCGTTCGGATTAGATAAGACCCCAGTAGTTATACAGTAGACACCATAGTTACAGGTGACAGCCATCGTCAGTCCGCATCATCCCTTTCAGCGTACGTTGGAAGGTCAAAGGAAGGACAGTGCTGGAAAGTAGTCCCTGCTGGCAGCCTTATTAAAAGCCTGCAGTAGGATCCGAACATTTTTCGTAGCTTGGAAAGACAAGCTAGGGCAGACAGTCTGCCAAAAGTCCAATCAGTGGACAGTTACTTTGGACATCCTTTCAAAAATCAGAGAATCCATGTCCAACTCAGATTCTGAAGCAGGATACAATCTCCGCAGCGATCTTCAGAATCCTTACGCCCAGCGTTCTGCTTACAGGACCGACGGGCCAGGGCTACCCCTTGTCCAGTGGTCCAATCGGAGACCTAGAAGTACACGAGGTGAGACATCCGCCATCACTCAAGCCTCAACCATATCCGAAGGCTTAGACACTGCGGACTCCGAAGCCGCCACCACTTTCACAATGGCGCTTAAGGAACTTGATTCGTTTAGTCAAAAGTTCACGGGAGAACCTAAATCCTCTGTCACTTTAGACAATTTGCGGTCTACATACGCCGCATGGGAAGCCACTCATAAGTTGCAAGCCGGTTTTGATAGGCTAACAACCACCGACAAATTCCACGTAATTATGTCAAAGACCGGTGGGGCAGCTCATGATACTTATCTCACTTTGCTAACCGAAAAAGAAGAAGAGTTAGCCACACACAATGAGTCGTTGCAATCAAATTATCTCAGAGACAAAGCAACTGCGCAACAAGCTATCACGGCTTGGGATGCACAAACGGTTGAAGAACGAGGAACTAATGCTAGGCCAACCTTGCCAATTGAACCTCCTAAAGTTACTAACTTCTTAGGAGACCCGGTCACTGAACTTTGGGCTCGACTTTTGCAGGCGTACCCAAAGGACTCGGCGGCGAAGATTCAAGCATATGGAGATTTCAAGGTTGAAGACAATGAGTCTATTACAACAGCTAGTCAGCGTATGTCTAAGTTAGCATTAGATTTAAAGCAACCTCAAACGCAAGCGGCTGAGAAGCTACTCAACGCATTGCCATGGAGTATACAATCCAAGTTAAGAACTAAATTACAGTTTCAATACGAGGATATTAGTACATGGACCGTAGAACTAATAAGAGCTGAAGCTGAGAAGCTTGAGAAAGTAATAAACCAAGAACGATTGTTGAATCCTAAGGTTATTAATAATAATAGTTCTACTAGTACCACCCATCCCAAACGCGACACTAGACCCAAAATAAGAGGGGTTTCAAGATGTACAAATTGTGGACGATTAGGCCATTCGGCCCATACTTGTAGGGTGCCTACTAATAAAACGAGTGCTAAAACCGCACAAAACACTCCCACTTCATTTCAACCCGGACCATGCTTTCGGTGCGGCCAAGTTGGGCACCAAGCCGCTCAATGCCCAACTAAGCCCGTTGCCAATGGACCCATCAATCAACGCATTCCCGGCAAGCCATGGTGCACATATCATCGGCTCAACACTCATGACTCATCCCAATGTGTGCACTTACATCCGGAATTAGCCACCCGGCAACGAAACCCAACAACTCGAAGCTCCGCCGCAACACATAGCCGAAGGAGCAATCGAGGAATAAAAGATAGTAGCAACAGTTAAGAAGGAGCTATGGAAAGAATACAAGCAACGTCATCAAATCTCCAATGCATACTCATCTCGCGGGTCAAGTCCCGCAAGTTCTAAGGACATTGCCTCCGAAAACCCTTTGCCAACTCACATCAAAGATGACCGAGCGCGGGAAATTGAAAAACAAGATAAGGAAGAACAATTTGAATTTGACATGGAAATAACCGAAAATAAGCTACATGATCAAGCTCAAGCAAAAGCCGCAAGGCGCAAAAAGGTACATCGTAAGCTACCTAGCCCTGAACCCGCCACCGTCACTAAGAAACGCGAACGCAAACGCGTAGAGAAGAAATACTCCCGCCAACGCACTGAAACGCAATTTCTCCGGCGCAACCCCGACATGCCATTAAGTTTTCGTCCAACCGAGGAAATTGAGAAATTCCGCTCCAATGCGAGGGGGGGTGAAGGAAAAACAATCAACTATTCCGAGAGTCTGAAACTTTTCGATCATTGGAAATAGCAAAAGCGGAAGCGCCGCAATTTTTGTATCACATACCAAAAGATCAACTTAGAACCGACGCTCAACGTGCAAAAGATGAGGCTGAAGCGCACAAACGAAGCATAAAGATGACAAAAGAACTAGAAGAACTGGATAAATTGCCCCCAAATCATAACAAATAAATACCATACAAAATATGAATATTGGAAGGATCCGGCTGATCCACAGTGGATCGGAAGTCCCCGGACCCCACCTGCAGATCCAAATCCAAACAGCTATAAAAATCCCCATCCGGATTTCCAAGCCATACTGAAGAAGGATCCGCGCGGTTATGATTTTGGATTTCAATCCTTGTCCCCAGAAGAACAAGCCATCCAGGTGGCCAGAATGACAGCCAGAACACCCAGGCCCACTGGCTCCAGTTCAACAAACCATGCTAGTTCGGATGATAACGGTCCGGCAGATTCCTCTGCCAGTCCATCCAACCTCACTGGATTGTCCAGCCTAGTTGGCAGCATCCCAGCTGCTGGAGGTCCAGAGGGAACAGACCCTCTGGCTGTCCACCAGCAATCAGAGAAGGCTGCTCGAGCAAGCTTGACTTGCTTATGCTCGAGCATGCAGCAATGTCACATTGACAACTTTGGCCCAACAACCAAGACTAGCAAGCTGCTGTGCAAGAACATTGACGATCCTGCATTGAGCTTGTGCGTCGATTCAGTCGACGCTGGGCCACACACTTGGCCAAGCCAAAGATTCCTTCACATGGCCCATCCTTATCCTTGCCAGCCAGGACAGGAAAGCCCAGGACAGGAAGCCCTGGGACAGGAAGCCCAAAGCCACGAAAGGGGGAACATTCCCCCTTCACATTTCCAAAGTGCCACCACCTTGGCGGCCACCTCCCTTTTGAGCTTGGCCTTGGAGCCCGCTCACAGCCCTCCTCAACAGCTTGTTATCTCCCCACAGCGCCAACGAACAATGGCAGCTGGCGCAACGACAAAAGGCGCAATGGCATTGGCGGCTCAGAGCCCCAATGCGCAGAACGGGACAGGAGAGCAGGGAGCAGACGCGCAGAATGGAACAGGCGCGCAGAACCATGACCAGCAGCGGCAGGATGCACAGCCGCAGAGCAATGAGCAGCAGCCGGGCGCGGAAGGCGTCAATGAGCAAGGTGGGCAGTCCCAAGTGCCACTGGTTGCACAGTCTCAGTGGGATGCATTCCCCCCCGTGCCT